AATTAGAATAATATACATTTAAAATTATAATTTATCGGAATAAAATGTATGTATAATTTCTCGATCCGATCATAAATTTTTGTAGAAACAAGGCCCGATAACGAATTACGGGGATGAGAATCGAATATCAAAAAAATACCTCCGATATAAATTTGAGCGTCGGCGAGCAACTAGCGAGTAATTTATATAGGATTTGCGCAAAGTTGAATATAAAACGCGATTTACGATATCTATTACGCGTGCGTGCGTAGTTTATCACGCGACTCCCTCGCAATTGCCGGACCGACGCGCACGGATGTTTAATCTCGGATCTCCATGTATCCGTTTTTGCGTTCTCTTTCTTTTGAACAACAAATCACTATTGGAAAATGAGATATGTCAGGCCGTACTTTATTCTTGCGACGTGCACTCTCGAGCGATTCGTTAAGTGCGGCCTTAGCCCTATGGGAAAATCGTGGCCCGAGCTGCATCTTGGCCGAGATATCAGCGGCGGCTACGTAATCTCGCGGCGTTTCATCATCGCGATGGTGCATGGAATTGCATTGTGAGAATGCACCGAACCCCCACAAATTCCGAAAGGTCACCCGCTTGCAATCGGCCGCCCATCGTTGTGAATAAGAAACGGATCTAGCAACTGGTTACGCCAGGAGGGCTGCGTTCGCGTTTTCACGATGAATGCGTGGATACGCGCATCCAAACGCGGATGTTAATTGCTATGCGTCGATAATAGTGGGCGATAATCGATCGCGAATTAGAGCGGGCATCCGCTCACGCAGGCGGTAAGTTGACGTGCGATTATAATCGTGGGAAAATTCTGTTCCACTTTGCACTCTTAAGTTTCCAAGATTCGCTTAGCAATATCATGCAGTAGATATTATTGAAGAATTATAAGAAATAATATATCATCGAACAATCATACAAACATGAAAGAATTAATTAATACTGTTAATGATTGAAACTTCTTCAAATTTGAAAAAACACGTTTAAAACTATAGGAAAATATAATAATTATAATATAAAATAGACCTTCGAGTTTCAGAAATCACAATTTTTTGCATATTGTATAAAGATATATTCAAGTACTGGAAAGAGTAGATTTTTTCTTCCCACAAGATATAAAAGAAACTTTTAATTTTAATTTTTAATTTTGACGCTTCAACCAATATTGCAAGAGATATGATTTTTCGTATGACATTTTGCAA